GCGCAGGGTGGGGCTGGATGGGAGGAGGGGAGTCGGCAGGGGATAGCCTTTTTCATCCTGACCCATGGCTCTTCTGCCTCTCAGATGTCCCCGTATGACAACCTGCTCCTCTGCCAGCCTGTGTCCTCACCCTTGCCCCTCAGGTATGTGTCCAGGTTGGGGGGGGCTTTGCTGACCAAGACATGGTAGGTGTGAGGCAGGTGGACACAGCTGTTGAGCCTGTTCAGGCTGGGCCTGGGTGGTGTCTGTGCCCAGTGACTAGGGAGGGGTCTCCTGGTGACCCTTCCCCCACCTTGGCATTGCCCACAGTGGTGCCAGCTTCCTGCAGCTGCTGCAGAGCCTGGGCCCTGAGCTGGCTATCACGCTGCTGCTGGCTGTGCTCACAGAGCACAAACTGCTAGTCCACTCGCTGCGGCCGGACCTGCTCACCAGTGTCTGCGAGGCCCTCGTCTCTGTGAGTGCCACCCTTCCCTGCCCGCCCTCCCCAGAATGTTCTTTCCGGTGCCCCCATCCCAGCCTCGACTCTTCTTACTTTTCCTTCCTTGGGGAGTGTTCCTCAGCCTTCTTGGGCACAGCCTAGAGAGACAATACAGCTTCCACTGGGGGCTCTTCTTTGGGGCCTACCTCCAACAGCTTCTCTCAACAGGCACTCCCCACCAAGGCCAATGCCTCTTCTCTCTCCTGTGCCCCCCACTGCTGCCCCAACCCCCTGCTCACTGGTTCTCTCCCCGGTGCTTCAGATGATCTTCCCGCTGCACTGGCAGTGCCCCTACATTCCACTGTGCCCACTGGTGCTGGCAGATGTGCTGAGCGCCCCCGTGCCCTTCATTGTGGGTATCCACTCCAGCTACTTCGATCTGCATGACCCTCCTGCTGATGTCATCTGTGTTGATCTTGATACCAACACACTCTTCCAGTAAGAGGGGCTTTGAGGAGGGGGGCACCAGAGGGCTGGTGTGTGGAGTGCTACCTCCTCAAAAGGAGCCTCAGGCCACGAGTCGGGGAGGCAGGGGGCTAGCCTGGTGGCATAGTGGTTAAGTTCACGCACTCTGCTTTGGCGGCCCGGGGTTCGCCATTTCAGATCCCGGGTGCGGACCTACATACTGCTCATCAAGCCATGCTGTGGTGGCATCCCACAAACAAAATAGAGGAAAATGGGCACAGATGTTAGCTCAGGGCCAATCTTCCTCACAAAAAAAAAAGTAGGGGAGGCTAGTGAGGAACCCCATTACCCTTTTTTTCTCCTGCTTATCTCACAGGACTGAGGAAAAGAAGCCCCTCTCCCCTCGGACTCTGCCCCGCAGACCCTACAAAGTTCTGTTGGCTACACTGACAAACCTATATCAGCAGCTGGATCAGAGTGAGAAGCCTGGGTGGGGTGGGAGGCTGGAAACTGTCGTTGACTTTAAACCTCCAGTTTGGGGAGGCCTGTGGAGAGCTAGCCCTTACTCGAGGAGGTCAGAGGAGTTAGGATTTCATTTGGCGGAAATGAGGGGAATTTAAATTCCAGTTTAAGCAGGAGGGAGGGGCATACAATATTAATATTCCTAAATAGGTTGGGAAGGTCAGGCTTGTCATTGAGGAGGCTTGAAACCGCTACCTCAGGGTAATTGTTTAGTCAGTATTGGTGGAAGCTGTGTTAGAAGCTGGAGGTGGTGAGGTAGCGGTGGAGACATCTGTGTAAAGAGCAGGGTTGAGCAGGCTCTGCTGGTGCCGGCCTGACTCTCAGGCTGCCCTGGTCCGCAGCGTATACTGGACCCGAGGAGGAGGCATCCCTGGAATTCCTGCTGACAGACTACGAGGCAGTGTGCGGCCGCCGGGCCCGGCTGGAGCGTGAGGTCCAGGGAGCCTTCCTCCGCTTCATGGCCTGTCTGCTCAAGGGCTACCGGGACTTCCTGCTCCCGCTCACCCAGGCCCCCTCGGAGGGGGCTCGTGATGTTGACAACCTGTTCTTCCTGCAGGGTAAAGAGGGCCTGTCTCTGCTTGGGAAGGGTGTCACAGGACGGGTGGCCAGGGGCCCGCCTCCATTGAGAAGCCGGGGGATGACTGGGAACTACTCAGTGGTTTGTTCCTTTGCTCAGCAAATGTTTACATGGCACCAGCTTTGACCCATGCAGTCTTCTGGGCTTGGAGGGAGTGAGGGTATGAAGGTGAACCTGCCGTGGCACTGCCCTCTGGGAGCCCTGGGCTTGGGGCGGGCACGGCGATGCCTCTGGTGAGCTGCCCCCAGGGTAGAGCTCTCCTGCCCTTAGAGAACCCCAGTCAGAGGCAGTGGGTGCAGACAGACAAAAAGGAAGGATTGCATGGGGCCATGGTGTCAGGGGAGCTGAGCTGGTGGGCTTGGCTTGTGGGGTAGTTGTGCCAGAGGGGCCAAAGAGATGATGGCTTTGATGGCCTTGGATGCCAAGTGAGCAGAGAGCCAAGAAGGGGGTTCAGGAAGATGTGGTAGGAAACCCGGTCACCTTCCTCCCCTGCCCCGTTCTCATCTCCCGCAGGCTTCCTCAAGTCCCGGGAACGCTCCAGCCATAAGCTGTACTCTCAGCTGCTACGCACACAGATGTTCTCGCAGTTCATCGAGGAATGCTCTTTTGGCTCTGCTCGGCATGCTGCCCTTGAATTCTTTGACTCTTGTGTTGACAAGGTATTGGGCATTGTCCCTTCTTTTCATACCCATTGCCCTCTGCTCTCTTCTTGGCTGTCTCTGTTATGCTAGGGCCACTATAAACACGACTAACTTATATCTCATCTGTGATGGGGATGGCGCCCGTGGAATTATACAGTACACAGCCTGGGCAGCCACACGTGACTGGCTTCATATACATACCATCTTTCTAATCCTAACTCTACTCCTCAGTTAGATCTCTAGGGCCCTGGTGGCGTCTGGGCCCGCTCACTCCCTCCCTGTGGATGCGCAGTCCAGGGAGATGCCATCTTCTGGACACCCAGGCCCTGCTCCATGCTCATTGTCTTGATGTTCACTCTCTTCCATCTTGCTCCAGGTCCACCCAGAGCAGGAGAAGCCTGAACCGACCCCCCTAGTGGAGCTGGAGGAGCTGTCGGGAAGTGAGCTCACTGTGTTTATCACACCTCCTGAGGAGCCTCCAGTGCCAGAGGGCAGTGAACCCACTCCCCAGTACTGGTGAGAGCCTCTTGTCCCCTCACTTGTCCCAAGGCCCCATAGGCTGGCTTAGTGCTGACTGATCCTAATGTTGCCTCTTTCTACCCCTCCAGCTATGATGGGTTCCCAGAGCTACAGGCTGAGCTGTTTGAGTCTCCTCAAGAGCAGCCTGGGGCTCTGCCTGTGCCGGGCCCCTCCCGTAGTGCCCCCAGCAGTCCTGCCCCACGCCGTACCAAACAGGTAACCAGCAGGTGGGACCCACAGAGCATCTGGCTCAGGCTGAGGGCTGCTGCTTCAGTTTCTTCATCTGTAAAGTGGGTATGATAGTACCTCTCCCATAAGGTTGTTAGGAGGTTTAAATACGCCTGGCACATAAAACATTAGCTATTGTCATTATCATCATCTTCCTCCTCTGAGCACCCTGGGGATCCAGGGGCTTGCTGCCTCTTCCAGCGCATCTGCCCATGCTCAGGGGCTAAGCGTCTGCCCAGGGTTCCAAGGCTGCCGTCTGTGAGTGTAGCATCCCTCCCGCCTCCTCAGAGCACAGACCCTTCCTTAGGGAGGGTGCTGCTTCTCCCACACCATTTTAAGACCTGCCCTGCCCTGGCATCATATTCACCCAGATGTGTCCCCTGCCCCACTTAGGAGATGAAGGTCGCACAACGGATGGCGCAGAAGTCAGCAGCTGTGCCTGAGCTGTGGGCCCGGTGCCTTCTGGGGCACTGCTACGGGCTGTGGTTCCTGTGTCTGCCTGCTTACGTGCGCTCGGCGCCCTCCCGGGTGCGGGCACTGCACACGGCCTACCAAGTGCTGCGCCAGATGGAGAGCCGCAAGGTGGTGCTGCCCGATGAGGTGGGCCTTGACGCCCGGTCTCAGGGGGCCTGTGCAGCCCTGGGGGCTGTGAGAGGGAAACCTGCTGGAGACCAGGGAAAGCAGATGGGGAGCAGGGCCACAGCCTGAGCTGGGAAGCTGCTCCATCACGTTCACTGAGTGAAGGAGCATGCTCAGGGTATAGCAGTGGAGACTGCAGGCTGGCGGGGTCAGCAGGAACGGTGGGTGGCTCTGAGGCAGCCCCAGGAGCTGCTAGGGGCCAGTGAGTTCTGAGAGACTTGGGGAAGCTGGAAGAGGGGGCTTGCTGAGACTTGAGGATTTGGTTGGGAGTGAGTCCCCTCTGATCCTGTGCCTCTACTGGTCCAGGTGTGTTACCGGGTGCTGATGCAGCTCTGCTCACACTATGGGCAGCCAGTGCTGTCTGTTCAGGTCATGCTAGAGATGCTGCGAGCAGGCATTGTGCCCAACACCATCACCTACGGCTACTACAACAAGGTACCTCATCTGGGGTTAAGGGTGGGATGGAAGCCTGTGCCAGGTGTGTGTATGGGGAGGATGCTGCTCCCTGATACCTGCTGCTCTCCCCTCTCCCTGGAGTCTGGGTCTGTTCCACCCAACTAGGTCCTGTAACCATTGTTGTCCATGTGCTCCTGTAGTGCCCTAGCATCTACAGAGGGTTTTCTCATCCTTGGTTGCTTTGATTCCCACTCACAACAGCCCTGACAAGGAGGCTGGGCAAGTACCGCTGCCTCCCGATAATAGCTAACAGTGTCAGCTAATATGCCAGGCACTGTTCCAAATATCTTACACATTTTAAATCACTGCCTCTTCACCACAGCCCCTTGAGGTGGAATGATGATTGTCCCCACCTTACAGATGAGGCAATGAGGTTGCAGAGTTAGTAAGTTGTCCATAGTCCTACAGTGAGCAAGTCAGGGAGTTAGGACGTGAGCACAGGCATATTGATGTCTCCTGAACTCAGGCCATTAACCAGGATACTACACTGCCTACTGTTTTTTAGATGAGGAATCTTAGGACCAAAAAAATGAAATGATTTCTTCAAAGCCATATAGTTTATAAGTACCAAAGTCTGGATACAAATTGTCTCCACTGCTTCTGACTTCCTCTAGACCCCCTGCAAGGTGGCTGCTTCTTCTGGGCTCTTGTTCAGAAGACAAGCCATTGATGGGACAGTCCTAGGCATGATGTCTGGAGGGGACGGTGGTCCTTGGGGCTCCTGGACAGGCAGTGGGCATCAGGCTGGGGTCAGGGTGTGGAAGTAGCCCATCTTGGTGGGCATTGTGCTTGGCAGGCTGTGCTGGAAAGCAAGTGGCCGTCTGGTACACCGGGTGGGCGCCTGCGCTGGGCCAAGCTCCGGAACGTCGTCCTGGGGGCTGCTCAGTTCCGCCAGCCCTTGAGAGAACGGCGGAAGCAGCGGCAGCAGCAGCAGCAGCAGCAGCAGCAGCAGAAGCAGCAGGCAGCAGCACAACAAAAGACAGGCAGCTCCCAGACAGGTGGGTAGGGACTGGTGACATGGCTTGGGGATGGAGTAGCCAGGCGCAGGCAGGGAGAGGCATGGAGAGCTGGGGCTGGCCTGGTGGTTGGCATTGGGTGTTCTGGGAATGGATAAAGTACACTTGGCTGATAACAAAAGAGATGTTCTCCAGGAGGAACCCTACGAACCCAGGTCCATGCAAGGAGCTCTGTTTTGGAAGGGGGCTGGGTTTCTAGCTGGCTGCCTTTCAAATCCCTCCCTGTCTTTTCCAGAGCCCTCTCTGGAGCGCCCCTCCCCAACCCGCCCCCTTCATCGCCAGACTACTTGGGCTGGGCGAAGCCTGCGGGACCCAGCCTCACCCTCAGGGCGCCTGGTGAAGAGTGGCAGCCTGGGCAGTGCCCAAGGGGCACAGCCCACTGTGGAGGCTGGCGTAGCCCACAGTAAGTGCCCTTGTCTGACCCCTCCTACCACCCCCAGTCAGCATTCCTAACCACTTGCCAGTGACAGAGAGCCAGGAAGACTAGAGCCAGGATGGAGGGGTGGCCCTCTGTGGTGGGTACTGTAGACTCTGAGAGAACCTTGCCCAGAATGCCATCATGGTGGGGGGTGTGGTGCCAGAATTTGTGCAGCCAGGAATTGTATTTATTCAATTTCTGGAGGAGGGGCTCCCTCAATCTTCCCTGATCATTTTCTGCCCTGCAGTGATAGAGGCCTTGGGGGTATTGAAACCCCGAGGATCACCTGTGCCCTGGCACGATGGAAGCCTTTCAGACTTGAGCCTGACCGGGGAGGAGCCAGCACCTGGAGGAAGCCCAGGGGACTCTGGCTCAGCCCTGAGTACTCAGTCCAGTGAAGCCCTGGAAGGGCTAAGTGGCCGGGTACCCAAGGCTAGTGGGCATCAGGATGAGGCCAGCACCCCCCGACGAGGGCTGGGTGCCCGCCTCCAACAGCTGCTCACTCCTTCCCGCCGCTCCCCGACCTCTCGCATTCCCCCACCTGAGCTGCCCCCTGACCTGCCTCCCCCAGCCCGCCGCAGCCCCATGGACAGCCTTCTGCGCCCCCGGGAGCGCCCTGGATCCACTGCCTCTGAGGTAGCCAACGAGGGGAGGGTCCAGACATTTTAGCACCAGGAGGCCTGGGGAGAGGCTGCTATCTAGGAGCGTCCAGAGAGGGCCCTGCGAGGTAGCTGAAGTCAGCATCCTGGGTGACCAGGAGTATGGGGTTGGCTGACCATGTTTTCTCACGTGATGGCAGAGCTCAGCCTCTCTGGGCAGTGAGTGGGACCTCTCAGAATCTTCCGTCAGCAGCCTGAGCCTTCGCCATTCCTCAGAGCGCCTCAGTGACACCCCTGGATCCTTCCAGCCACCTTCCCTGGAAGTGAGGATAACTCCTCCCCTCCCTGATGTGCTCCAACACACACATATACCACACCCATTATGTCAAAGGCAGGGGCTGGGGAGGAGGTGGAAGGAGGCAGGGCTGGGATTTGGAGGTGGGAGGGGCTGGGGAAGGAGCATGGGCTCCTGAGCCTGGAGGCCAAGCAGGGTCTGCTTCCTGGGGTCTTTTTGCCTGCAGATTCTGCTGTCTAGTTGCTCCTTGTGCCGCGCCTGTGATTCGCTCGTGTACGATGAGGAGATCATGGCTGGCTGGGCACCTGATGACTCCAACCTCAACACAACCTGCCCCTTCTGCGCATGCCCCTTTGTGCCCCTGCTCAGTGTCCAGACCCTTGATTTCCGACCCAGGTGCCCAAAGCAGGGCAAGTGCTGTGGGTGGGAAAGAGAGATGGAGGTCCAAGAGCTGACCCCTCCTGCTATCCCTCTATAGTGCCCCCAGCCCCAAGCCTGCCCCTGCGGATGCCGGAGGCAACAAAGACGCACCTGTCCCTGGGGGCCCAGGACCTGTGCTCAGTAACCGCAGGCTCTGCCTTGCCCTGGATGAGCCCCAGCTCTGCAATGGGCACATGGGGGTAAGGGGCTCGAGGAATGGATGTGTGTGTATGTGTGTGTGTGTATGTGTGTGTTGTCCTGTGGTGTGACCTGAGGTACTGGGGAGAGATGCACACTGAGGGCAAGGGGCATCACAGAAGCTGGTGGATCTGGTGGCTCAATTGGGAAGTGTGGCTCTGGCGATGGGGCCATGGTACATGCCCTCCACTGCCCTCCCCCTTTTTGCGTGACAGGGTGCCTCCCGGCGGGTCGAGGGTGGGGCATGGGCATACCTGAGCCCCCTGGTGCTGCGTAAGGAGTTGGAGTCGCTGATAGAGAACGAGGGCAGCGAGGTGCTGGCATTGCCTGAGCTGCCTGCTACCCACCCCATTATCTTCTGGAACCTTCTGTGGTATTTCCAGCGACTGCAACTGCCCAGTATTCTGCCATGCCTGGTGCTGGCCTCCTGTGATGGGCCCCCACCCCCCCAGGTCAGTACCTCCATGTGATCCTGCTTCCTGTGTGCTTCCATCCTCAGCTCCTGGCTCTGTGTCTTTCAGTCCTCTGTAGAAAGAGCACAGGCTTTAGAGTCGCTTGTACCTAGTTTGACTCCTGGCCCTTTCATTTCACTACTCTGAGCCTCAGTTTTCTCATCTGTCAAATTGCATCAGCACCCACCTCACAGGGCTGTCATTAGGCACCTCTTATAGAGCCTGGGACACTGTAGTGCCTAGACAGTGACTCGTTCATCTTCGTCTGTTCATTCCACCAATCCTTACTGAAAACCTTTTAGGTTGCAAGCACAGTTTTAGGCACTAGGGATGTAGCAGATTACAAAACAAAGTCCTTGTTTTCAGAGAGCTTGCATTCTCGTAGGGGATGAGAGTTCCTTTCCCTCTTCTCTTTGGCTGTGTCCTGTAATGTCCCTCTGTCTCTTGGAACATCGCCTATCCATTTCCTGTCCTCTGCCTCCCATTCTGTGAGCCCGACTGTCTCCTTTATCTTGGCTCCCTGCAGGCCCCATCTCCTTGGCTAACACCTGATCCAGCCTCTGTGCAGGTGCGGCTGCTGTGGGATGTCCTGACCCCCGACCCCAATAGCTGCCCACCTCTGTATGTGCTCTGGAGAGTCCACAGTGAGTCTGGTATTTGGCTTAGGGTGGAGGGGGTGGGTCCCATGCTCAGAGGGCTCAATAATCCTGACTACCTTGCTTTCTTTCATCCAGGCCAGATCCCCCAGCGGGTAGTATGGCCAGGCCCAGTACCTGCCTCCCTTAGCCTGGCGTTGCTGGAGTCGGTGCTGCGCCATGTTGGTCTCAATGAGGTGCACAAGGCTGTAGGGCTCCTGCTGGAAACTCTAGGGCCTCCTCCCACAGGCCTGCACCTACAGAGGTATGATGCTCCCATCTGGGAGGTCCCTGGCCTGCCCTGGGCTCTGCACCTCCTTTCTCTCACTCATAGCCTTCTGCCTCCACTCCAGGGGCATCTACCGTGAGATCTTATTCCTGACAATGGCTGCTATGGGCAAGGACCACATGGACATAGGTGAGGGAGCAGGCAGGGGGCTGAGGAGTGCATGGATCTGGGGCCAGGTGTGGGAGGTGGGAATCCTAGTAATATTGACCTACCTCCACCCTCTTCCCTAGTGGCCTTCGACAAGAAGTACAAGTCTGCCTTTAACAAGCTGGCCAGCAGCATGGGCAAGGAGGAGCTGAGGCAGCGGCGGGCACAGATGCCCACTCCAAAGGCCATTGATTGCCGAAAATGTTTTGGAGCACCTCTGGAATGCTAGGGACCCTTAAGCTTCCCTCTCCAGCCTGGAGTGGGGAGGTGAGGGAGAAAGGATTCTACAGATAACCTGCTACCCTGTTCCTTTCATAGAGTAGTTGGGAACAGGCTAGGAAGCATGCCCAGCCATAGGCTCCAAGTGGGGGCAGCAGGAAGAGGGACCCACTGTTACCAAAAGTCGCAATTCCCCTATCTCCAACCTGCTCAATATGCTCACACTGATGTTGGAGGAGGCCTGGAGGGAGCTGGCACAGCTCTGTTCCTCCCCATCCTATATCGGGAACTCCCCTCCAGGGCACCCACAGATCTGCACTGCCCTGGTCATTTTATAAGTTTTTGTTTTAAAAAACAACTAGAAAGATACAGAGCTACTGAGCCTTTGCCCTGAATGGGAGGGAGGGATGTCATTCCCCACCAATAATGGTCCCTCTTCCCTGGAATTGCTGAAGAAGCCCAAGGCTCTCCATGCCTTTCTACCTTAGTGTTTGTATTTTATTTTAAGTTATTTATTCTGGAGCCACAGCCCCCTTGCTTATGAGGTTCTTATGGACGGTGAGAAAGAGAAGGGAAATGGGGCACCATGGTCCTGTGGTTTGTAGCTCCTTGAAAGTCAGGAAGTGGAAGCTAGAGGAGTCCCAAGTTCCCATTAGGAAGAACTGGCGCCCCCTCTAGTCCTAACCCTTTTTGTCCGCTCCACCTTGGGGAATGCCTCACTCACCCAGGGCCCTGACTGTGCAATAAGGATTGTTCCTTGTGAAGTTTTGTTGGATGTAAATATAGTAAAAGCTGCTTCTGTCTTTTTCCTCCTGCCTCCTGTTCCCTGGGTCTGGGTTGATGGTGGGGATACCTCTCTTTTTCCCCTGGCTGCACATCCTCCTTTCCACCTTCCCATCCCTTGCAGCCTTCAGGCAAACCCTGCTTTCCCTAACCAGGTCTGGTACCGGTCCCTTGGCACAGGGAGTTCTCGAAGCAGGAGAAGGGTGAATCCGATGCTGGCTATGGTGGTGCCAGTCTGTGTGGCACTTCCGGCCCTCCAGCACAATCACCCCCTTGTCCCTCATCTGTACCCCACACAAAGACTCCATTCTCTGGAGGCCCTGAGCTCATCTCTGCCTTCTTTCCTCTCCCCAAGCTGCCCCCTCCCAACTTCTCCAGTACCTCCACACGGATGATACCCTCTCCCTAGTAGCTGGTGTCGGCAGACCTCATGCATCCTGGGAGCCCTGGCAGTCGTCCTAGGCCTTCTTAGTTGCTCTAACTGCAGGCAATACTCTTCCAACCACGGTCTCAGCCTGGGGATAGCTCCAGGAAGATAGGGGCAAGGATTAAGGGCTCGCTGCATGTGGGCATCAGGGAGGGAGCATCATTTTTCTACTCTCTCTGGCCCACTGGTAGTTCTCCCTTTCTTTCCTGGATAATGAAATAAACACAGGAAACAACTCCTAACAGAGCTGCAAAACCAATTACCAAAGGGAATTAGCCAACAAAACAGAAATGCCTTGGGGAAGGAAGGCAGGAGTGTCAATGGAGGAAATAACTTACATGAGCCTTTAGTGCAAATTCCTGGGGGTAGAGATCAGTGGATGAAGAGAGAAGTACTACTTCTGAATTCTGGGACCTTCAGCCAGAGGACCCTTTCCCGTCCTGTCTCAAGCATGGTGGGATGCTTTTCCAATGTTCTAAAGGAGCTGCACAGGAGGGAAGCAGGGGCTTAGGAAATGCCATCTCTTTTGCTAGGGACTAGGAGGTGTCTTCTTCAGAAGGGAACCCTCATGTCACCCCAGGTTCTGATCGAACCTTCCTCCCCAGAATCAACTTCGCCCTGTATCATCTGCAAGGACCTTGTGCAAGGGAGCAACTGCCTTCCTGAAATCATAAGTTTCTGTTGAGTGTAGCGTGCCCAGCAATGTGCTGAACCATCTGAAATTAGAGAATTTTAGGGCTCAGTCCTTATCTTAATACAACTTCTTGGTCTAGAGTGCCCCTTGGTTCACAATAATGATAATGGATTCTGCCTGCCAGTTTATGCTTCTATTTTGGGGCTTCCTTCTAGAGGCCTACGGTCAGATGAGTAGAACTACAGAATTCTTTAACCACAAGAACATCTGGGAATTCCAAAGGCAAAGTACTCACCATGGCATCTGACATCTCTCTGTCCTGCAGCCCAGGTCGCTGTATAAGGGGAAGGATATGCCCAAACTACCTGGCCCAATTTCTCTTCCCAGACTTTAGAGTGTATAGGCTTGAGTATGACAAATTTTAATTAAATGTTGTCTCTGCCACTTACTAATTTTATTACATCAAACAAGTTGCTTAACTGCTGTGCCTCAGTTTTTCCTCATCTGCAAATAGGAGAGGTTGTTTAAAGATTAATTATATAAACCATATAAAGTGCTAAGCACACTCAATAAATGTTAGCTTCACAAAGAAAACGAACACACAGGTAGAGCCTGCATGGGGCAAAGGTCATGTCCACTACAACAGTGGCCTCACCGACTTGCCTTCTGTGGAGCTTGATCGCTCCAGATTGAAAGTCCCCCTCCACAGCCTGGTTTCATTTCACTGAAAGGCATTTTCTCAGGCCTCACTAGTGTCTTCCTCAGCTTGGTGTCTTCCACCACCGTGTTTCTCGTGTCTCCTTGCAGCCCTTGAAGAAGGGCCCTTTAGATGGCAGAGAACACATTGGACTGATAATGGACAAAGCAGCAGGTTAGGGAAAGAGGACTGTCCCTTCCATGTGGGTGATGACTTTGTCTCATCTTGCTATATCCCAGCACACAGAAGAGTGCCTGATATCATGATGGATCCTCTATTATGTGTGTTAAATAACTAAGTCAGTGAAAACATTAAAATGAAGGGAATAGGGGCCAGCCCCATGGCATAGTAGTTAAGTTTGGTGCACTCTGCTTCGGCAGCCCAGGATTGGTGGGATCATATCCGGGGTGAGGACCTACACTGCTCACCAGCCAGGCATCCCATATACAAAGTAGAAGAATACTGGCACAGATGATAACTCAGGGCAAATCTTCCTCAGCAAAAAAAAAAAAAAAGAAAGAAAGAAAGAAAAGAAAAGAAAAAAAGAGGGTTGTAGAGAAATAATTTTCAGTGCAGTACAAGACAAGTGCTATAGGTAGAATACCAATAGAAACTGAATTTAGAACTAAGGGTGAAATTGTTGGAAAAGTGAGGAAAATTCTCATAGTAGTCACTATTTTCATGTTTATTGAGTACTTGCTATATCCTTGACACTGTCCTGAGCATTTTATTTTTTAAAGATTTTATTTTTCCTTTGTCTCCCCAAAGACCCTCAGTACATAGTTGTATATATTTTAGTTGAGAGTCCTTCTAATTGTGGCATGTGGGATGCGCCCCAGCATGGCCTGATGAGTGGTGCCATGTCCGCTCCTAGGATTCGAACTGGTGAAACCCTGGGCCACCGAAGTGGAGTGTGTGAACTTAACCATTCGGCCATGGGGCCAGCCCCCAAACATTTTAAATGTACTATTTTATAATCCTCACAATACCCTATGAGCTATGTACTCATCAATCATTCCCATTTTATAGATAGGAAACTAGGGAGTAGAGAACAGAGGGTAAGTAACTTGCACTCACATCACACAACTGGTAAGAGGTAGAACCAAGATCCAAACCCAGATAGTATGACTCCAGAGACCATGTTCTTTACCTGGACACTATACTAGAATGAAACAACATTTTTAGCCCACTTAAAGAACTGGGGCATGCCTCATGTGTGTGTGTTCAGTCTACCTGTGTCTTTCTGTAGTCATGTCCTTCATTAGCTTCATTTCCATTGCCCAGCATGACTTCCAAGTAATTTGAAAAACACATTCTAGGGCTTCTGGAACTAATTATTTCTGGGTTCAAACCACTGCTCAGTCACTAATTAGCTGTCTGACCATTGCAAGTTACTTAACCTCTCTGAGCCTGCTTCTTGATCTAACTGGGTTAAAATTTCAGCTCTGCCACTTATCATGTGTAACTTCGGGTAAGTCATTTGATCTGTAACTTATATTCCTCATCTGTAAGTGGGGATAACAGTATCTACCCCACAGAGTTATGAGGAAAAAGATAATCTATTTATAGCTCACGGGGATAAGATAATATACGTGTAGCACACTGCCTCGCACACAGTCTCATTCCTAAAACGTTAGCTGTTACTATTCTCTCAACACACTTGACTCTGCGATACTTGGTCCCTATCCTCAGGGTGCTCAGGAACAATACTTGTGGTAAGCGTTCGAAAAATGCTAACAGAATTTAGGTGGGTTTAACTGCTTCAGGGGAAGCAAGAGGAGTTGGGCCTGGAGTTGATTAGGTGAGGTCGGATGGGGTGTAAGGCTGTTTCCCTCCATGTGAACCTGACCGTCCCAGGAGATCCCGAGAGAAGGAGCTGCGAGGGCTCTGCACACCGTAACTGCTCAGCAATGTGGCTCGCTGCCTTTTTCTCTGCTGTCGTGGTTTGGTCACGACAGGACCGCGCTGAGGTTCGATGGAGACCAGGAAGCTCAAGGCCTTTGGCAGACGGAGACAGACCACGCCCCAAAGAGACAGCAAGGCCCAAGAGCCTAAAGCGACTTCTATCGGGAAATTCTTGGATTCTGTCGCGATGAAACACCACCCAACGCAGAGCCCAACGCAGCTCGCCAGTCTCCACCTTTAGAATTAGAAGAATGAGAGCGGGCCAAGGGGGAATCCCGGTTTGGGGATACTGGGGTACGGCGGCTGCCTGGGGACCAAAACGTCTCTAAGGTAAAGTTGCAGCCCGAAGCGATTTTTTGACCCCCGACACTTAATGGGCTGCTGAAGACCCGGATGTGTCTGGGACTGGCCGAGGTACCCATTAACGCGCCCCCGCTAGACCATCCCCCTCTTCCGTTTAAGATTGGGTCTTACGTACGCCAATCATCACTTCTCCAGCCACTCACTCTTCAAGGGTGGGGTGTAGTTCCGGCATCCCGTCTCCTAATGGCAGAGCGGAGAAGAAGAGGGCGGGGAGGCCGGCTTAGGTCGCCCAATGGGCGTCGTGGCGTGTGGGGAAGGCGGAGCCGAGTCGCTTGGCAGCTGCCCAATCAGCGTCCTTGTTTGTGTGGTGCCGCCGCCGCCGGTGCAGCCGCCGCCGCCGCCGCTGCCCCCGTCTGTACCGCAGTGTCTGCTCCGCCCGCCCGCCCCGGTCCGGCCCACCCCCCTCCCCCACCCCCGCCCCCGGTCCCGTCAGCGGGGTCCGGAACCCACTGTGCCGTCGCCTCTTCCTTTTTCGACGCCTCCGCCGCCGCCTGAGGAGGCGAGCTAGCCGGGAGTTCCACCGCCACCGCCAGGTGAGGAGCTTTGGCCTAGGCCAGCCTGGCCGCCCGCCCGCCCGGGGGCGGTGAGGAGCGAGGAAGGGAGGGAGGCTGGGAGGAGGCGGTGGTGGCGGAGGTGGGGGAAGGGAAAGGTGGAGGGGCGGGGGGGAGGGGAAGCGCCCGCGAGCCGACGCCCGCCCGCGCGCCCCCGCCTTGCGCCCCCCCCCCCCCCCCCCGGCACCGCGCGCCCCCGCCTCGCGCTCCCCCTTCACCTCATCCCTTCCCACCGCTCCGCGCGCGCGCCCGGGTCTTTCACTTCGGCCTCGCGCGCCCCCAGCTCGTGTCCCTTCATTTCTTCTCCTTTTACTCTTTCTCCCCTCCCTCGCGCCCCGTTTCCCCCGCCATCCCCGCCTTCACTCACTGCCTCATGCCCGCCATGCTCCCCTCCTTTCCTCTCTAGCGCGGCCCCCCCTTTTAACTCTCTCCACCCCCGGTGGTGCCCTGAGGGTGCGGGGGCCGCTCCCTGCTCTCAATCTCGTGTTTGCCGGCGGTTGGGACAAATGGGGGATCCTTGCGGGTGAAGGAAGCATGGGATAATTACCCTTATTTAGGTAAAGGGCTCAGGAGCGCAGAACCTTACCCCTTTATTTCGTCGTCCACCGTTCCCTCGCCCTCCCGCAGGAGCAGGGAATTGTCTCAGCTCGTGTGGGTACTTATCTTCTCTAGCGGCTCAACCACCCCTTTCCGCAGCTGGGCTTCTGGGACACACTGGAACTGTATCCCAGTTCAGTGTCTGAGCTCGATGGAACTAGAACTTACCCTTCCCTAACCAGCCCGGGACTTAGAGTACTTTTTGCCTCCCTGCTCTCAATACACTAAGGAGCTAGCCACTCCCGCGAGTGCAGAGGTTTGGGCGCCCTTCGCCGGCCCAGGACAGCTTTCCCCCTTCAAAGGTATAGTAGCCTTTTTTGGACTCTTCTCCAGCATCACCTTCCCTTCAAACACAAGATGTTAGCTCACAGGGCTGGCACTGAGGTGGAGATGGAGGCATTGATGGTGGGTGGGTGGCATGTGGATGCTAACTGAGGTAGCTATCAACCTTTTCTTCTGCTGTCATCTGGAGAATCAGGTAGTCTCCTGAGAACCAGTTTTCTCATTTCTGATAAATGATTATTTGGAGGGCTTTTGTGTGCGTGTGAGAGAGCTGGGAGATACTTAATATGTTTCAGCAAAGGAAAAGAGCAGTGCTTTCAGGCCAGACTACAGCAGAGATTTGGACTTGCAGCAGCTGGGATAAAAGCAGATGTTGGAGAGATGATGATGCTTTCTAAGATTTTTGAAGCATTTTTATTTCTAAAAATTTATTTTTTAGGCAATGCATGTGTATGATACAGAGTGAAAAGAAATCTTCTCTCTGCTCTCTGTCCTCCGGCCATCCAGTCCCCATCCCAGTGTAGATGACTTCTGATTATTTTCTGGCAGCAGCATGGTGTCTGTATGTTGGAGATTAACCTGTTTGGGTTTGGTGGTAATTTTATTGCTCTTTGTTACACTGACCTAAACTGTTCTTGAAGTCTGATAACCACTTGGATTTACATTTTTGGTTCTGGAGCAGTCTTCATAGAGTACTGTCGGAGAGTGGCGTTTCTTTCGGTACTTGGTTGGAAAGGAGGCTACTTCTCGAGCTGCTAAAGGTGGTGCTATGGAGGGGCTCAGGAGATTTTGAGGGAAGGCCCACACCTGTTGGAAATGGTGCTGCTTTTTTTGTGACCTATATCCAGTCTCTGTTTTGGGATGGCCTGGGGCAAGGATAGTCCTGGCCTGGGCTTTTTAAGTGGATAGGTTGTATGAATAATTAGTTAATGGGAGTACTGATCTGCTAGTGCTGTCTTCTGTTTTTAGAGGAATGTAGTTTTTAGCCTAGTGGTAGTGATAGTCATCGTATTAAGGAATGAAGTAGATAAGTATTAATTAGCAGGAATCAGAAGGCTGGACCTGTAGGCTGAGTGACCCAGTTTGAGACGAGATGAGGCTTACGGACTTTTGTCCTGCCTGTTCCTTACTTGAGAACACGTTTGATGAGGTGAGAGTGATTTGTAGCTGACAGCAGCATCCATCTTTATGACACTGTGGTTTGCCTCCCCTGACTGTGTGATGTCTGTTAACTTCCTGTTTAGAGGCAGTCCAAATAGGGTCTGAATAGTGGCTGCATTCAAATACTTGTCTGGGAACAATGTTAACCAGGTTCCCTGATCAGCTCTTCAGATCTAAGTTCTGGCAGTAACTTTTACTGCTGTGTTTAGCATTAGGCCACAGGATGGTGGGAGAGGGAGATGTGAGAAATTTGTTTTGAACCTCATAATCTTCAAGTACATTCAAAAGCCTGTGTGCTGCCCCCCTCTCTTGATTTGGGCAAATGTCTCCCCTCCCCCCACCTTTTTTTTTCCTGGCTGTGCCTGGCCAGATCTCCAGGTTAGGTTTTGGTTAGAGAACAGCAGTGTGGAAGAAGAGTCAGTGTAGTAGTATCCTAATCATAGCCTGAGACCTCTGGATTCATCTTGGCTTTAAGCAATATCTTGTATGTTGTATGTAAACCAGGCCTCTTGCTTCAGTTGACTGATTCTTCCTTCCTTACCTCCCCTACCCACCAAGCTGGAGGTGCATGTGTAAGGGAACAGCCGCTGTGCTGTCCTGGATTCTAGACTCTGGACCATATTCCATGTTAGCCACCCTATTGAGAGTCATGCTGACAAGCAGTCCCTCTGCACTCAGCTCAGAATGCTTATATTGTTTGGTTCATTGAGAAAAACTAAACCAGCTTTCGTTGATTAAAACAACTGCTGGAGAAATCATTAAGATTTGAGCCATAAGTGGAACTGAGGGACTTTCTTTTCCAGACCCCTTCCAGTACTTAAAGCCTTGCATCATTACATATCAAGGCACAATAGCCAGGCATTTTCTGAGGCAGTTTGGAGGGGAAGAAAAAAAAAGACGCACACCCAGATTGACTGTAAATCTAATCCTGGCGTAAAACTGTCCACCTCTTGCTTAGGAAAAATCCAACCTATCAGACAGTGCCACACAAAGTTGCAGTTCCACTGCATTGGCTAAGCCTGGGAAAAGATACATAAGGAAGTACAGTTTCTGCTGAAAAGCACTGACTTTTGGTGGGGAAGCTTCTATTAGCCATATAGTCTGGTTTATCCTTAGTTATCCCTGTGATGCTTTTTCTGTGGGTGCTGGTTGGGGATTTTGGTGGCTCCATAGTGCATGAAGCAGAGGCCTCCTTTATTTGTGTAGTGATGAAAGCCTCTGAAGAGAAGATCTGATTTGAAATGCTCCCTTTTCATATTCTTTTACCTTCTCTCTTATGGATATATGAAATATGCTTATATAGTTTGAGTTCATCCAATAGGAAAGGAATGACCAGGGTCATTAAGGGCTTAACCTGTCTGATACACTTCTTAGATGGTGTCTTGGTAATGTTTGGTGTTTCTCTTGAAATCCTGTAGTCTTTGCCATTGCCTTAAGATGCCATCAGCTGGCAAGAAGCCATCGAGTTTTGGGTTATAGTAGCAAAAGCAACAGATGAATAAGAACACATATTTTGTTACTTTTGGGATGTGAAATGGTCAAATCCCAGACCTCAAAGAGTCAAAGTAATTGTAGAGGCTTCTTTGACAACACGTGAACTTAATTGTTATTAATACTAACCAGTAAAACTACCAAGGAAAGTAACAGTACTTCCACATTTCTCAGCCATTCTCTTGTTACTTTTCAAATCTGGCTAGTATACATTTTTTAGGTTCTTTTTTTTTTTTTAAAGATTTTATTTTTCCTTTTTCTCCCCAAAGCCCCCCGGTACATAGTTGTATATTTTTAGTTGTGGGTCCTTCTAGTTGTGGCATGTGGGATACTGCCTCAGCATGGCTTGGCGAGCAGTGCCATGTGCACGCCCAGGATTCGAACCAGCAAAACCTTGGGCTGCGGAAGCAGAGCGTGCGAACTTAACCACTCGGCTACGGGGCCGGCCCCTACATTTTTTAAATAATTCAGGGTACCGTTACTTGAACCTGAAAGTCATGCTTTAAGCCTCCCAATCAAAGCTTTCTTGATCTTGTCTCATTTTAGGGGAAGGTGGAATTTGTAATCTCCCGAAATATAGGCTGGAATGTTAGTAGGATTTAGATTAGACATCAGGATTAGTAAATTCCCATTATGGTTGCAGGGGACTAGAAATGTTAACTGGAGAGCTTGTGCATCTGTTACCTAAAAGGTATTTATAAAGTTAAAGCTTTTTTTATTTAAGTTCAGACTTCCTGGGAGGGAGGTTGTAGGCTAATAAGTGACCAGTTGTAATGGTAGAACACAGGTGTAGAGAATCTAGAAATCCTGGGTCAAATCCTAGCGTTGCCATTTATTATCTGTATAACTTTGGGTAAGGCTCCTAATTTTTGGATTCCCATTTCTCTCAGAGTAAAAGGCAGTCTTTACAGTGGCCTATAAGGTCTTACATAATCTGTCCTTTTCCACCTCTTCTCTTTGATCTCCTGTCATCCTCCCTCTTGATCACTCCGTTTCAACCACATTGACTTGTTCCTTAAATACATCAGTTGCATTCTTTATCTTACGACCTTTGCACTGGCTATTCCCTCTAATGGGAAATAGCTAGTTTTTCCCACAGAGGTAATACAGATAACTAATTTCCTCACCTCCTTCAAGTCTTTGCTTAAATGTCACCTTTTCACTGAGACCTTATCCTACCCCTATTTGAAATTGCACCTTCAACTCCCACCTCTCACTCCTAATCCTTCTCTGGTCTATTTTCTTCATAGTACTGACAACTTTATAACATACTTTCTAGTTACATTTATTGCTTATTGGTTCCCCTCCTATGATGTAAGGTCTTTGAAGGTGTGGATTTATTTTGGTGTTTGGTTTAATGCCTAGTAACGATGCCTGGCATATAGTTAATACTAAGTAAACATTGTTGATCAAATAGGAATAATAATAATTGTTTTCTTAACCTCATAACAAAAGTATGAAATGTGATAAACATAGTATGGGATCTTAAAATGTTTTGTGAACTATGAAG